AAAATAGGCCCTCAGTTTAACTTGGTATAAAATTTAAAGAAAGTGAAAATGTGTGGTTAGAAGTGATGCATAAGAGAGAAAGATTGTGAATCACTCAAAGTTTTCCAAAAAAAGGAAAAAGGGGATATTTTTGGCATGTCCTAAAAAGGAAATAATGAGTCTTTTTTTTGAGACAGGGAGAGCATTAAATTGCCACAAATCATCTTTTTTTAAAATTAATTTTCAAATATTAATAATAGAAAATATTTCTAAGAAAATATGTTTCTTCCTACAAAAATGATTGAAAAATAATTTTCTTTGAAAATCATTTCCACTTAGAAATTATTTTTCTGTGAAAATATTTCCCCAACTAAATACACCCTAAAAGAAGCTACTCAAACTTCTTCATTGCTTTGGGGAATGAGCTTCTTATTATGCTCCGTAATTAATTACAAGTGCAATATTATGAAATTTTTATTATTTAAAACTATATTTCAAGATAAATAAATAGATGCCACGTAAAATTTCATATTATAATTAAATGCATTTTTTTCAAATGAAGATTCTGGAAGAGATGATTAATTACTCCGTAATATTTCTTGGTCAGTTTTTCTTTTACATTTTTCCGAATTTAGAACTGTTACGCAAATTTGGCATGGTTTCATGACTTTCATCCATAAACGTGAATGCCTGATTAAGAAAATGCTTTCTTATATATTTCCTCAATCCAAAAATAATATTTTCGTAACGCATTATGATATTTGATTGAAATTATTTCAAATTATTTTATATGAAAAATTGCATGAAATAAAAACACAAAAATTACATATTTTAAAACTACATGAAAAGATCTACAAAATTAGATGTGATATGACTAACCAACAAAATAAATAAAACTTGATCTTGTGTAGTGTTTGGAAACATTATTATTAGATGAAGGGAGTATATTCACGATTAGTTTTTTAATTGTAAAGTCAATAAAGCACAAAAATTAACGATCATTGCACAATTCTATAAAAAAAACGATCATTGCGTGCGTAGATTAACAAGGTACCAACGTTTTTTTCTTTATTTGACTCTGGTGTAACTACTCTCTCCGACTCACTTCCTCGGTCCAAAAATAAATGTTTGTATATTTTTATTGAAAATTTTGATAAAATAAATTTCTTGTTATATCTGGTTTTATAGAAATTTTTATGTGCTTTTAAATATGTGATATCTTCTTTTTATTTTTATACAAATTTATAATAATAAATGTTTGTATACTTTTTATTGAGAATTTTGATAAAATAAATTTCTTGTTATCTCTTGTTTTATAGAAATTTTTATGTGCTTTTAAATTTGAAATTTATACTTTTAAAAATAATACTCCCTCCGTCCCACAGTTTTTGTCCACTTTCATTTTTACACACCATCCAATGCATTTCTTTAATCCATTTTATCTTGTAATTTGTATATTAAAAAATTATAGAAATTATATATTAATAATCTATATGTTAAGACAAATCAAACAAGATCACACATGACTATATTTAGGCTTACACATTGAGAGAATTTGATGAGTCAAAGTGCTTAGATGAATAGTTCCAAAAGTCAAAAGTGGACAAAAACTGGGGGACGGAGGGAGTAATATTTTGTATGTTAATCAGAGTGTGACATTCATTATGAGACAGAGGAAGTATATCTTTTCTTTGTTTTGAAAAACGTGTAAAATTTCAATTGGTATAAAATAGAAAATATAAATTTTACCTCTTTTAAAATGATTTTATTTAATTACAAATTGCTATAAAATAGAAAATACAAATTTCACATCATCTAAAATGATTTTATTTACAAATTAGTATAAAATAAAAAGATAATTTAGACCGTTTATAAGTACATCCAAAGTTTTAAAAAACAAGAAGTGATAGAAATATTTTATTTTATCAAATTATCAATAAAAACATGCATACAAAGTTATCAATACACTATAGTAGTAAATAGAAAAAAAATCATGAGAACAAGAGAATAGAACTTATTTTATCTTTTTGAGTATTTACATTGCTTTTCACAAAGCATCTAGAATCATCAAAAGAACATTCTATGTATGAGTGGAGTATTTAGTTCATTTTCTTCAATATTCACATTGCTTTTCACAAGCATCTAAATTCATCAATGGAACATTCTATGTGATAGTGACAAATTAAATAGTCTAGTCTAGTAATTGATGGTTATATTGAGATTGAATCAAATTAAATACACTTCATTTTAAATTTAACTTTTCTATTTAAAAGAAAATACAGGTCATTGGCGCCCAATTCAGAGCTAAGGACAAACTCTGTAAATTCTACCACGAACCTACGATCCATAGTATATATCTTCATATACCCAAAATAAGCAAATGTTTTGTAACAAGGGCACAATTTGTATTATTTAAAAAATAAAAACATAAAATAAATATAATGTTTTGATGAGAAAATATATAATAAAAAAAGTTAAATCTTAAGGTGCTTTTTGGGAGTGTGTTCGAAACTAGCTTTTGAGTTTTGGCTTCATTGTAACATCATTTTAAGTATTTTACACTTAGTTTTAGATTATGGATTGCGATTGCAAAAGTTTCAATTGTAGTATAAAAGTGATTTTCAATCTTAAGGTGCTGTTTGGGAGTGTGTTTGGAACTAGCTTTTGAGGTTTGGCTTCATTGTAACATAATTTTAAATATTTTCCAATTAGTTTTAGATTATGGATTGTTTTTAAGAAGTGTAAATTGTACGGAGTACAATAGAAGTGATTTTCATCAAAGCTTGAAGTAACTGATGTCTATTTCTAATTTAGCATATCTATTTTTTCAAAACTCACGGCACTCACAACATTAATACTCCATTCGTCCCAAATTATTTGCCACATTTGTATTCCCGAGACAAAATATCAAGTTTTTTCAATTCATTTTATTTACATTTTAGTAAAGAAATAAAAAATAAAATTTACATATAAAAAAACTACATGAAAAGTTCTTCGAAATAAGAGGTGTCAGGAATATTTTATTTTATCAAATAATCAATGAAAACAAATAAATAAAAGTTCCAATACTGCTGAAAAAACAAATGTTGTGAATATTTAAGGACAGATGGAGTATTAAGCACGTGTTTCATATTATTATGATATCTCAGTCATATAAAGGTCCAGTCCACATTCTTTCGAGACAAGTAGATAGTAGGCCATGATTGAACGCCACCCCTCACCTTTTTTTATTATTCAAACTCTGCAATTTTCTTCCTTCCTCCCCTCGTTGACCATCCAGAAACCCAACCAATTTCTTCCTCCCTCCTCTATTTAATCCACTCTTTCAACCCCAGATTCCCCACCCATCTTCTTCTTCTTCTTCAATTCCCAGATTTCATCACATTATAATCACTTTTTCTTTTCTGTTCGAGAGCAGTAGAGAATATAAGATGCCTCCATTTGCTGGATCAATGCCTCTCTCCAATGGCTTCCGCAGAAGCTTCCAAGATTCAGCAGTTTCCAGCCTCGTCACCATTGATGTGGGAGGCCAGCTATTCCAGACAACCAAACAGACCCTAACGCAGGCGGGTTCGAAATCCCTCTTCTCCAAACTGGCCAATTCGTCGAACCACTCCATCCCCTTCATCGACAGAGACCCCGATCTTTTCTCCGTTCTGTTATCGCTCCTCCGATCCGGGAACCTCCCTTCCAGAGCGAAGGCCTTCGATTTCCAAGATCTGATCTTCGAGTCCCGTTTCTACGGCGTCGAGCAGATGCTGATCAATTCCCAATCCGACCCTTCCCAGTTTGACCCTTTCAATCTCGAGAAATCGATCGTTTTGCCTCTCAACGGCCGAGATTCGCCGGCGTCGATCTCCGCCACCCGGTTCGGCTCCGTCCACGTCGCCCATGGCAGTAAAGTCACTTCCTTTGATTGGGCGTTGCAGAGAAAGTCAACGGTTTTGACCCAATTCACCGCCGTAGATTCTCTGTTGGCTCTGTCCCCGAAGATCGTAGCCGCCGGGGCCACCGATTTTTCCGGCGTTCAGATTCTGGATGTGGACGAGGGTTTTGTTAGGGAGACTTTGAACTGGGAGAACTTGACTCGGTCCGATTCGACCGTTCTGGCGATCGGGTCGTCGGACGAGTACATGTTCACTAGCTTCGAGTCCGGGAGGCGGAACTCGAGCTGCATTATGGTTTATGACCTCAAAGACAGCTTCAGGCCCGTGGCGGAGATCGGGCACTACGAGATCTTCGGGGCCGAGCTCGACTCCGCGATCCCCGCCACGAAGCTGAGGTGGGTCCCGGGCCATAACTTGCTCATGGCGTCCGGGTCCCACAGTGGGCCCGCCAGCGTGTCGGGGGACATCAAGTTCTGGGACTTGAGGTCCGGGACCGCCGTCTGGGAGGTCAAGGAGAAGCTCGACTGCTTCTCCGACGTCACCGCGTTGGACGGTGTCGGGATGTTCAAAGTCGGCATGCATTCCGGGGAGGTCTCGTTCGCCGATTTCCGAGCCCTCAGCGGGCCCCGCCCGGGCGAGAACATTTGGACGTGTCTCGGTGACGCGAGGAAGGCGGGGAACAAGAAGAAAGAAGGGACGGGGTGTAGGATCGAAAGCCACGGGAACCAAGTGTTTTGCAGTAAAGGGGGGCAAATAGAGTTGTGGTCCGAGGTTTTCGTCGGATCCGGAGACAATAACGACACAAGCACAAACAAGGGCGGCGCCGCTAGCGGCAGAATATTCCGGAAGAACGGGTTGGGGAGAGCGAACGACGCTTCTCGTGACCAGAGGATAACGCATATGACCTTCGGAGGGAACAAAATGTTCGTCACTAGGAGAGATCAACCCGGCATCGAGGTTTGGAAGAATTGTGTGAACAACAAATTGTAATGAGCTCATTCATGTAATGTACAGTGATACAATGTAGTGAAATTGTTCATTTTTATGTAGCAATAAAGCAAAAGATTAAGTAGCAAACAAACAACCCCATAGACATTGAAGTGATTACACACACATACACACACACAGAAAGACCAAAAGTGTCATCTTTTATCTTGCCATCTTTTGAAGCAGCTATTATGATGATCATTAGGAGCTTACCAAGCTCAAACTAAACTCCCAGAGTTTCTTGGCCAGACCAGAATCCTTGGCATTCAAACTCGGTTTCGCGATATTGCTGTCCGAGAAGTACTCGCCGCTCAGCCCCTTCACCTGTGGATGTAAGGCTACGTAGCATGTGGTCGCCGCTCCCTATACAGACCAAAAATATCATGTATTGTTTACCATATGCCCATGTTGCTTAAGGTTTAAGGTTGAGACTAAAATTCCATTCATTGATCTAAAAATGAAACCAGCAAGGGAATGAAAGAAAGTACCTGTGGTACATTTTTTAGCGTGTATTTACCGATCCACTTGACAACACCTAGGAGAAGATACAAACCAAGAATTGATATTGTAAGAAGCCAACACACTTTAAACTACCAAGTCAAGATACAACAACAACAAACCCAGCAAAATCTCATGAAAAAATAGGGTCTGGTGAGGGGGGGGGGGGTGTACGCCCTTACCCCTACTCAGGAGTAGAGAGGCTACTTCCAAGAGACCCCTAACAGAAACAGAGACAAAGTAAACACAGGGAGCCCAAATTTATAAGTTAAACTCATACTCAGGTCAAAAAGTTAATAGAACCGACCTTGAATGAATTCAAATAGGAGTAGTTGTTATGATAAAGGAACACAATCAATAACTTTGACAATGTGAATTGTGAAAGCTTTACCATCCATAAAACTGTGATAACGCAAAAGGTTGGTGGCAATTGCTCCGGGATGAAGTGAATTTGCCGTTATTGAGACCCCTTCTTCCTGTATGCAAGAGATATACAGATATAAGTCCATAGAGAAAAAAACATAAGCTACCTCCCTTCCTGTAATACCATTTCAAAGAAATACGCCCGTTCACATTTGTTTACCTCGTCTGTAACCACATTGAACTTTGCACTTTTTTTTCTAATTATATAAAGGAATAAAACATGTAGTTCACGTGTTTTCTCTCTCATCTCAACCAATTTCAATCATAAACATTTTGCTTTTTAACATTTTTCTTACTTAGTGAGGTCAAACATTGAAGTTTATTTTTTGTACAGGGGGAATGTGTCTGTATATCAGTTATGATGCAATTCAATACTGTCCGTTCAATGATATTACCTTCAGGCGCCTCGCAAGTTCATTAGCGTGCAATACATTTGCAAGCTTTGATTGTCCATAAGCATATAGAGGACTGTAACTGAAGAAAAAAACAGAGAAATGATATTTGTAAAGGGGAAAATGGAGGAAAATATTATGTTTGGTATTACCTTGATAGAATTAAAATCCCTGACTCTAACACTCAGTTTAGTTCAAGGGATTCGGAAGGAAAAAGAAAATAAATGGTATATGGGAATTTTAATGGGGGTCTGATTAGAAAGGAAAAGAAAAGAAAATTGAACTAAAAAAAGGGAGAAAAAGAAAAGAAAAGAGTAATATTGCCAAATAATTTTTTTTGGTTTCTTTTCCTTTCTATAACCGTTTCTTTTCCTTCCTAATTCTCCGGAACATAGTGTAATGATACTAGAAAATTTAGCTATATCCTGCATCCACTTGGCAAATATTCACGTAAGGTGATGATTTACCTTTCCTTGTCATTAATTTTATCAAACCGAATTCCTTCCTTGTATGTATATCGATGTGCCTCGGATGAAACAATGACAATCCTTCCTTCTTTCTGGCTTTCAAGGGCTGTATGCTTCATCTTTTCCAGTAAAAGATTTGTCAAAAGGAAGTGTCCTGCACAAGCAAACAACATTTATCATCATTCTCATACATTAGCATAACATGTTCCTTATACTCATTCATGAAACTCACCAACATGATTAGTTGCAAATTGCAATTCGATCTTGTCCTGAGAGAGAAGGAAAGGCGGAGCCATAATCCCTGCATTATTACTTCAACAAAGAAAGTGTGTTAACATTTCTTTCTTCGAACATAATCAAGAATTAATCAAAGTTTTTTTAAGTTGGATGGCGAGTGTTCTTTCCTATGCAAGGTGCTCACATATCCCACATGTGGGTTGGTAGCAGATTAATAGAAATCAAAAACAACAACAAACCCAGCAAAAGTCCCACAAGAAGTAGGGTCTAGAAGGGTGTGCGTACGCAATACTCTTTTTTTTCAAAAGTTAAATATTGTATGATTATCTTACATGAGGAGGTTCAAGGGTAGACCAGACGATTCATATTCTGAAGCAAACTTCCTAACAGATGCAATGGAGGTAAGATCCAATTCCATAACATCAACTTTAGCATTAGGAATCTTTTTAGCTATATTCTGTTGCACTTCTTTACCACTTGCCACATTGCGAACTGCCATGACTACGTGTACACCACGCATGGCAAGGATGCGGGTGGTTTCTGCACCAATACCGCTCGAGGCTCCTGAAAAAATAAACCTTTTGTAGAATTAGTTTGATGATTATATACAACAACAATGAACCCAGTAAAATCTCACAAAAAAAGAGGGTGTGTGTATGCAGACCTCACCCCTACTTGGGAGTAGAGAGATTGTTTCGTAGAGAACTCAAACATAGAAACACAAAGTACACATTGTACCATGAACAAAGCGACACAAGAAACACTCATACATACATTGACAATTGGACAAAAAGCACATGAAGACATGTACAAGTTACAAACTAAGACTAAAAATACACCATCATAAATTACAAATAAAGCCTCCAAAGTTTTATCCAACTATTGTAATCCTAATTCGATGATTATATACTTCATATTAAAAAAATTGTATCTTACATTAGAACTGATTTGCATCCAGTGGGGTGAATTGTGAATGTTTGCCACACACTTAGACTAAGATCAATCTAAATCATAAATGGCAAACAGCCAAACACTGAAACTAAATGCAAAATCAAATATCTCCCGCATAAGATTTGTTGCATACCAAGGATCCATTCGGTTGTGGGGAAATAAGTTTATGTTTCCAGTTTCCATGGAAATTGGTTATTTCCAGCATGATGCCATGATAGCGATNAACAAATTGGTTTAAGATGATGGCTTGAAAGAGTGATCATATTTTCTAGTGCACAATTCATGAAACGGAAAATTTTGAATTTCCCCTGAACAAACTGAGCCTTAATCTACAGGGTAAGACTTCATTCTCACAAACACAACCTCTAATTTTAATCTTTCAAGTGGAAACAATCAACTCAACAGAACTCAATACATCAAAAAGGTGCAAAAATCTCTGAATAAATCCACTCATCCCTTTAAAAAAGCATTGTTCCAAAATCTAATACAGATTATTCAGATATTACTGGTATTAATAAACCAAGCACTAAAAGGAGCATATGAAGAGGAGGAGGAGAAGAAGAAGAAGGACAGGGGACCTGTAACAATGGCGGTGAGGCCAGTTCCGTCGATTCCTTCAGTAACTTCCTCGGCAGTGGACGACGCTGAGAATCCAGACGGTCCTTTTCTGCCAAATATCCACATTCTCTCGCTCCCCAAATTGAAAAACTGGATGAAATTGAAAGCTTATTCCAGTTTATTTGCAACTTCGTCTTCTTCGCGTGCTGTATTTGATGATTGGTGTATGTGTGACTTCGATTTCTTGCCCAAGACGATAATTATCGGTGACGAATCGTGTCGATGTTTTCTTCCAGTGTGACGGGAGAAATATCTAGTCACTTTTCAAGGCTCGTTTGGTTTGAACTAATACGGAATAATTTATTTATTTTTTGAAATACTCCCTCCATCCCAAAAAAATCTTTCTCTTTTCTTTTTTCATTCGTCCCAAAAAACACTTCTCATTTCTATTAAAAATTCACTTTTACCCCTTACTTTTTCATACCCTACCTATCACATTATACCTTTTTACTAATAATTTATCCATCAAATCATACTTTTATCCATCACATCAAAGGACATTTTTGGAAATTCAATACCAATATACACTCCCCTTTAATCTTTCTCCAAAACCAAAACTCCCATGTTTTTCGGGACGGAGGGAGTATGTAACAAAATTGCATGCAAAATTGCATACATTTTAAAATTATACAGAGTATCATTTATCGATTCATATTAAAATAAAAAATATAATTTACATATTAAAAAATTACGTTAAAAGTTCTACAAAACTAATAGTTACAAGAATATTTTATTTTATTAAATAATTAAGAAAAATTTATATAAAGTTTTTTAAGAGGTCGTAATAGTAATAATGTAAATCATTATAAGATGGAGAGAGTATATGTCAAATGAGGAGCATAACTTCATACCACAATGGTTTTGTTAAAAATTTTCTTTTATTTAGATTTTCTTTATAAAATTTGATTGATATATTTTGAAAAATATTGTTGGTAAAAATTTGACATGGGAGGCCAATATAGGATTAAACGTCTGTTTAATTTTTTTCATCAAATTAATTTTTATCTCTATCCAAAAAAAACAAACTCAGAGAATATTAAAAAGTTAACCCCAAATAAAAAAAACTCTAGTGTCAATCTTTCATATTCTCATAGTCAACTTAAATGAAAATTCTTGGAATTACTGTAGTTTTTTCCCATGGATTTGTCAAGAAATTAGGTTAATTATGGCTTAATTAATTAGTTTATTCCCGGCTTTGCCATCTTTAATTTCCCCCAATTCCGTTGTGTCCCTATTAAATTAGGCCATGAACTATGAGAATAATGAGATATACTCCATAGTTAAACAATAAAATATGTCTCTATTTAAAGAATGCATGGCCAATCCTGAAAATTTAATGAAAAAGGCCCTAAATTACAATACTCTATAATTCGTATATAACATTTTACACTTATACTTAGTTGATTGATACAAAAAATAGTAGAAAAAAAATTAATTTTAATATATATTAAATTAGAATTAATAATTATTTCTAATTTTTATACGGAGTATATAACAATTTAAGTAGCTCAAACTTTAGCTTGCTTTAAAAAGGAAAAGAATAATGTCATGAACAATGCGTTAGTTGAAATATATATTTATTTACATCAAAGAGGAGGGTCAAAGCGTACAAGGTCGATATGTCCGAGTGGTTAAGGAGACAGACTTGAAATCTGTTGGGCTTTGCCCGCGCAGGTTCGAACCCTGCTGTCGACGTCCGATTTTTTTTAAACTGCCGCAGTTTATTCTTGTTTTTCTTTTTTGAGGAATTTTTTTATACTCCGTATTTGACAAAAACATATCCCTCTTGTCTAATAATAATGATCCTTTTGCGCGTTATGATGTTTGAATGAATAAATTTTCAAATTATTTTATATGAAAAAATGTATGAAATTAAATCAATAAAAATTATATATTTAAAAAATACATTAAAAAATTTACAAAACTAGTGGACATAAGTATATTATTTTATCAAATGATCAATGCAAATACGCCAAGAAGGTGAATACAGTTTGATCATGTGAATAGTAAATGTGAACTTTATTCTTGGACAGACACAGTACCATTTTATAAAGTATGTTGTGTGGATATTTTTACGCCGAGCATTTTTAAATTTTCTCATAAGATATTTTAAAAAAAACGTAACTCATGTTTTAATTTTAATTACATCATAATCATTGGTGGTTTATAAATTATAATGATAAGTTTTTCATATTTAATCTTCTATTATTTGACATGAAGCACATGGTCCTATTTCTATAGCTACTTTTTCAGTAATAATCTTTTTTATCTTTTGTCATGTTCATATTATTTTAAGGGTTAAAAGAATAATTCACATCAATCATATATGTCCAGTGACCTTTTGAATACCAAGTGTTCACTGCAAGTGACCTTTTAGAAGGCTCCACATATTTCAAAATATTCAGGAGCATTTTACAAGTTCATTTGGCAACAACATTAGAATTTAGCGTTAGCATTTTAAAGATATTATCTAACGGTAGTCTTTCGCATTAACATTTTCTAAATTAATCTATATCATTAAAAATTTACTATAATACGTTAATTAATTGAAAATGTTATTTCCAAAGAAAGCTTACATTCTTCTACATAGTTCTAGAGACTTTCACTTTTCTCTAAAATATTTTAGAAATTTCTACATGGTTTAATACAATTCTAGAGACTTTTATATTTCTCTAGAAATTCTTACAATATTCTAGAGAATCCTTAAATTTTTATCATTTTCAAAAATTCTTTAGATACTTCCTTCACACAACACTGTGAAAATATCAAATTAATATTCTAACAGTAATATTCTCTCCGTCCCTAAAAATATGAGAAATTTTAATTTTAAGAGATTTAAGAAAAGTATATTTTGATGTTGAGTTTCTAAAAAAAATCTTTGGATGTAATTAATAAAGCAGAATTTGATGGGTAAATTAATAGTAAATAGATGTGATGTGATAGGTAGGTTAAAAATTAATAGGTTTAAAAATAACTTTTTAATGTAAATGAGGAAACTTCTTTGGAACAGATACAAAAAGAAACGAGAAAAGTTTTCAGAAAGAGAGTATATGTTTTACCACTTTTTTTTACTTATATTTATGACTTATGAATAGAATGACAACAAATAAAAACAAACAATTCACCCCAGCATATTTGGGTACCAATTCAATAGTAATTTTCCAGATTAAAAAGGAAAAATGTTACGTTGACTACAATTTTTCAAGTAATACTTTGTTTTCTTCTTGTTGGCATGCTTATATGAGTTCGTTATAGGTTCATATCCATTTTGACTTATTTATGAGATGGGTTGACTACAATTGTTCAAATACGGAGTAATATTTTATTTTATTCTTGTTGGCTTTTTTTTGGAAACCAAGAGAGATTCAATAAATAGACAGAAAAGAAATTTGGAAGGACATAATTTCAAGACAAACATTTAACATGTAAAAATATTCCACATTAGTAGGAATTTAATTTGGGACGAAGAGAATACATTTTAATTCAGCATGTGAGTTCTTTTTAATTTTAATTTTTCAAGTCAAATTAGGTAACCTTTAATCATCAATTGCTATCAATGTGTATTTCATATTAATACAATAAAATAAAATTTTTAAAATAAGTTAATTTTATACTAATATACATTACACCTTTTTTATTTAATCTAATATAAAAGTAAAATAAGAAATCTACCTGGATAGGAGTAAAAAATATGAAAGTATTAAAACAGGAGTTTAAGTCTTTTAATACCAAAATATGAGTATAGTGATACTGTAGTGTAAGATACGCGGTTGCAATGTGATGGAAAAGTGAAGAAAAGTGATGACAGTATAATATGTCAGTGTGATCAGTCAACCGTCGGCGATCTATGGCGGCACTGGGATAGCCGGCGGAGATGAATGATAGTGTGACGATGATAGTGTGATAATTACAATGTGGCATCGTAACAATGACAATATAAACTTTTATGTTAGTCTTAAAAAATTTGTAATTCTTATTTTGATATTTTTATATTTTTTTACTCTTATCTAGAGAGTTTTTTTTTTTTTAATTTTGATGTATGAAAGATAATTCCAAATTTTTCTTTTTCAATGTAGAAATATTTGGTAAAATATGAATCCTCAAAGACATGCCTATAAATAGTCTTATAGTTTCAAAATTTTGATTTCAAATCTTTAGCGGCCCGATCATAGGTTTGTGATACCAATTTAAAGCATTAATTTGGCATTTTGATATTTCTCAATCTCGTAAAGACCAGCAATTCTTTTTTAGACAAAGCGAATACTCTTTGATGTTTGAAAGATGTGAGTGACAAATTAAAATAAGTAAACAAAAAACCAGTCTTCAATAAAAAACAAAACATTAGTCTTAGAACCATTGATAATTAATGAAGAAATACTCCCTCCGTCACCCTGTTTTTGTCCACTTTTGACTTTTGCAATTGTTCATCAAAGCACTTTGACTTATCAAATTTTCTCAATATGTAAGCCTAAATATAGTCATGTGTGATCTTGTTTGATTTGTCTTAACATATAGATTATTAATATATACATTCTACTCCCTCCGTCCATAATTAAAGTTCCCACTTTCCTTTTCTTGATGTCCACAATTAAAGTTGCCATTTCCTTTTTTGGTAACTTTTTTTCATCAAAAAGACTTAAATACCCTTCTTTATCTTTTACTTTTCTTCTCTCCTTCCTTTTCTTCTCTCCTTTTTTTTCCTTTCTTTCTTCCCTTCTATTCCGTTCTTCTTCTTCCCTTATACGAAGTATCTCTCTTTTCTGGTTCTCTCTTTTCTGGTTCTTCTTCTTCTTTCTTCTATCTCTTTTTTCTTCCACTTGATTTTTTCGTTTTTTTTCTTTTTTCTTCTTCTTCAGATTTTTCCTTCTTCTTTTTCCCCCTTCCTTTCTTCATCTTTTTCTTTTCCTTCCGATTCTTCTTCTTCTTCTTCCGCCATTCCGATTTTCCCTTTCTATTCTTCTTCTTCTTCTTTTTCTTCTTCCTCTTCTTCCCCCCTTCTGATTTGGCGTTTCTATTCTTCTTCTTCTACTTTTTGTGCGTCAGATCTGGAAAAATCGAATTCAGATCTGTGAATCAGTGTGAATCTTCAGCGTGGATGAAGAAATTCGATTCAAATCTTTGTCATCTTCTTCATACTCTTCGCAGGGCTTGAGTCGGAAATTCGCCGGACTCGATGGCCAGAATTTCTCACTGGTCGGATTTCGCAGGTTTTGAGTCGCCGGAATTTCTCTCCTGACGATGGGATGAGTTGCAAGACTTGGCCAGGAACAGTGGGGGCTGTGGGTTAGGTTGAGGGGTATTTTGGGAAAGTCACCGTAAATTTTAACTTTTATTAAACTCCGTGCCCGGTCAAAACGGGAACTTTAAATGTGGACGGAGGGAGTATAATTTTTTAATATACAAATTACAAGATAAAATGGATTAAAGAAATGCATTGGATGGTATGTAAGAATGAAAGTGGACAAATATTCCGAGACGGAGGAAGTACTACATTGTTAAAGAATAAACCAAAAATTGGTATATACCAATTCAAAAACATAGTTACAAAATATCGAGGAACTATATGTTGTAGAGTTAATGCCTGCAAATTATCTCTAGGCATTACAAATGTGACAAAGTATTTTGTACAAAAAATAGTGGTAAGTATTTTTGTTTGTTTTTTTTATAATTTGTAGATTATGAGAAAGCAGGGTAACACGGCGCGTGAATCAAACACAAACAACTCGCCGTTATCTCCACTCACTGAGTCGCACCCGACTCGCTCTTCCGGTACCGAATCCATTGCGAGTTGCTTTCCGACCCGACCCGCTATGACGCGACAGAGCATCATGCCTCGCCTTCCGCTCTCGCCGTCGGTTCCGTGCGCACCGCCGCTACCGGAAAACGTACAAATCGTCGTCCCCTTGCCTGACAGCAAGCTCCACGCGCCACCGGATTCGCACTCTCCGGCGGCGGGACCCAGGCAGTAGAATCTCATCAGCTCGTTCCCGTCGGCGACGCAACGCGCGCCGCCGCAACTGTCTCTGATCTTCACGATCTCCCTGTACTCCTCGAATCGAGCAACCGTCCGCGGCGGATTCTGGACCTTAAGAATCATCTCGATCTGGCCGGGGAAATCCTTCGGCGACCAGCTCGTGCGGAAGATGATCTCCACCACGTTCCGCGAAGGATGACCTAACGGAAGCTCGGTAAGCGTCGGGAAGCAGGGCTCCGAAACGGTCCGCGAATGTCTCGCCGATGATCTCGGCTGTTCGGGTCCGGAATCGGCCGTTACGGGTCCGATATCCTCTGGCTGCGGCGGTTTCGTCTTCCTTGGCCTTCTTTCTTGAGCGGATTTGACGACGTCTTTGACGGAACGGACACCGTTTTTACAGCTCCCGGAGGCGCGGAGCAGGCGATACCGGTGGTGGTGGTTTGAAACGACGTCGTCGACGACTCTGGACTTGCAGTTTAACGACTTTATCCAACCGAGTCGCCGCCATTGACGGCGATGAGAATCCATGAAAGAAATTCTCGCCTGAAATTTTCAATCACTCAGAATGTTTTCTCTCTCCTCACATCTTATCAGCAGATTCTTTCCGTTATATAGATATAGTCAGACACACCGTGTATGTCATCCAGTCCAAAATTCACATTTTCATATACGGTCAAATAAAGAGTATTTGGTGATTGAGATTTGATAATTAGAACTAATGAGTAAAAGAATGAAAAAGTCACTAGTCAAACAATGATTTTGATTATTCAATAAATTAAACAAGTCAAAATTAGTCAAATATGTCAAAAATTATCTGAAAAAATGTTTTCCAAACAAAACCAGTGTCTGCCCATTTTGAAGGGGGGAGGGGCGATAGATGTAAACAGTGTGACAACTATGACTAAAATATTGAGCAACAATCTTCAATGAAAAAATCAACCAAATATGAGTAACAAATAGTCTATATATCAAAGTCCAAGTAAGATTTTTATTTCTAAAATAAGACTTTGTGTTGTGACAATGCGGCAATGTACATTGAAACTCTACATTTTGAGAAGAGACCTTGAAGATATTATTGTTTTGACTCTCTTCTGTATTTTACTCATATTTTAGTCATTCTCTTTCTAGATAACCCATGATAAGTATCGAATGACTAAATGTTACTAATTCATCTGTCCCATAAAACTTTTACACTATGTTTGGCCCAAGGATTTTGGAAGGAAAAGAAAAGAAAATGATTTTCTCTCATTTTCCTCACCAAAATGGAAGGAAATTGGTTTTTCCTCTATTTGGTACATTTTGACTCCTCATTTTCTTTTCCTCCCACTTTTCCTTTCTTTTCACCTCTAACCAAACAAGAAAAATGGTTTTCCACTTCATTTTCTTTTCTTTTCCCTTTCAAATTTCTTAAATCAAACATAGTGTTAGTGTTTGACATTTTTTTATAAGAGATGTAAAAGTTTAATTAAGGAGAAATGAAAACAATTGAATCGAATAAGGTTCGAAAAATATCAAAATGGATAGGACATAGAAAATATTATAGTAGATTCGATTAGATTAAGGAAAAATAAAGATAATTGTGCCCATTTAGCTTAAATTAACATATTCTATGTAATACAAAAAAAATTAAAAATTCTCGAGACCGGAATAATTACACAATTAAAGAAGCAAAAAAATTTAAAGAGCCATTTACGGAGTGAGTAAATTATGTAAAAGTAATGACAATTGGCAAAGTAAAAAACAACGAATTTTGACATTATTTAGGGAGACACGGTTTGACATTTAACGTCTTCTACACTACTACAACTACAGTATAGTTGGCTTATTCGTAAAAGAATTTTATACAGTAATTTCGTCCCATTTAATTAATCAAAGGAATTACCCAGTAATCCCCAGTATTCTTTTACTAGAGGAAAAATTGCTATCCAATTAGTTTTGATACCTACTCCCTCTGTTTTCCAAAACACTTATTCTTTCATTTTTTTCTCTTCCACCAAAACACTTCGATTTTCTATTAAAAAACCATTTTTAACCATATTCTTTCTTACCCTACCTATAACATCATATTTTTTCTCTAATAATCTATCCATCACATCAAGGACAAAATTGGAAGTCAACTACAATTTAACAGTTCTTTATTTTAGTATTTGGTCAAATGAGAACTGTTTTCAAGAACGGAAGTAGTATAAGATGATTTTTGATCTCTTAAAAAACAAATCAAATGATAAGTTATTTATACTGATCTAGTCACCATCGAAACACTGCATTTAGAAGAACTGATATGAGAAAAAAAAGGATGAGCCCCATCCCCCAGACCCGGCCGAACGGTCACTAAAAGGAGGTAAATTAGACATTAATCGCAGATTGGTAACAAAGAGTGGAGCCTACACCTGGTACTTGCAGAAGCCCTATGCTTAACATAGTTGCCTCCCAACACATTGCCAGGAATTGAACTCGGGTCTTACCTCCTTGGCACCCCTTGCCTTGCTAACTGCGCAACGCCCAACATTTAAAATCATATCTCGCACACTTACCAAACAGACCCTTAAGGGTTCTCATATCTGTGTGTGTAAACTTTAAACACAAGAGCATGTATTACTTATTTTACATTACTAATTTACTAGAGACAATAGTGGGATAAATATGGAAGCAGGCATGCAATACGAAGTATGTTTATGTTTTACCCTTTTTTTTTGTATGGTAACTTTTGGTTTTTGTTTTCTAAACAAGTAAACTAATACTACTCCACAGGAAATGGTTCATAAAGAAAAGATATCTTGGCATCTTGGGTCAATAGATTTTACTCAGAGCCCCAACAAAAAAAACAAAAGGTGTTTTTCTATATATGCACACAAATCCAAAGTTCAAACAACTTCAAAGGCGATTAGCAGTTAAGTGTTGTAATTGAGATACTAACCCAATTAGATTGTCTCCGTTGTGTATTTATGGCTCACGGGGGCGTTCCGCAAATTTGAAGGTAAGGGTTGTCCGGCATTACATATCTGGACCAGTAAGTTCTGTACTTGGTGATGGCGAGATCCAGCCATGGCTTATAGTTTCCATTGTAGTGGACAACAGCAGCATTCTCAATGGCTGTTTTGTTGAGCGCCGGATCATAGCCGAGGCCCAAAACGTGCCAGCTCCGATCCAGAGGATAGGTCAGGTTGTAAAATGTGATCAGCCCAGGAGGCAAAGTCCCGAGTTTCCAAAGCGTTCGCTCCTCATTCTGCAAGGCAAAGCAATTTTTTCATCAGGTCTAACCATAAATTGGAAATAGAGAACTTTACAATAACAACAGATCCAGTAGTAGATAGAAAAGACAGGTTTTTTCAAGCACAATTCTTTGTTCAAGAAAATACTGAAAATGTAGGGATCCTCGTGAAGGAAAGAGTGTCATTATTTAGGAAGCGTTGCCTTTTCACGTATTTTATTCAATGGTGGACCATTCAAAATATGAATGTTCAGAATTATGCTTTCTTTGATGGATGTGACTCCTGTTTGTTCATATGTTTCATCCAAACTTTCAACTAAAGATTGCTTAATTGATCTACTCTTCAAACCAATGTCATCTGTACTCTTCAAGGATCCAAATGAGAGAACTGTCGGGATTGTACATATTTGTAGGAAATATTTGTTTAGATGTGAATTTGATGAAATGCTGAGAATGAATGACATGTCTGAGAAGCTGGAGTCAGTATATTCTGATGATACAAATGTGCCTTTCACTAAAACATTGCCTATAACATCACCTGCCTTGATACAAATGTGCCTTTCACTAAAACATTTGTATCATCAGAATATACTGAGTCTATCTTCTCACACATGTCATTCTTTCTCAGCATTTCATCAAATTCACATTCGAACACATATTTCCTACAAATATGTACAATCCCGAGAACTCTCTCTCATTTGGGTGTTCGGGGCCAACAAGCCAAGTTTGAGGCTCAACAGTGGATTTAGCCTAGTTTCATACAGAGTATATAATACTTCATCTCTTCACAACTTGGAAGAGTGAGGTAAAAAATGATGGCTGCCTCACCATGTCTTGCCAACGATGATATACTCCCGTGATGTTCCGTCTCCTCCACTCATTCAAATCAAACATATTCATGCCAAAAGCCCATCCGCAAGCATTTGGATCGAAATTCTCAGATATCTTTGGGTTGGAGAAGTTCAGATATTTATCAAACCTATGAAAGCTCTCCTTGCAAGTCTCTACAGCACCATTAACCATACCTCCAAGATCGACAGACCAAAGAGGGGTCAAATCCTTTTGAACGACAATATCATCATCCAGGAACAATATCTTATCCAACTTTGGGTATATTTCAGGAAGGTAAAACCGTAGATGGTTTAACATTGACAAATATTTAGGGTTTCTATATTTCAAATTGTCAGTCCCAGAAGAGAGTGTGGCAGAGTGATGAGCCTTGAAGTAATACTCTATCATTCTTGCAGATTCAAGCTGACGTAAAACGGGGCAGTAAGAAGCATTTAGCCATGTGAAATCGTCTATATTCTCAACCTGAACTGTTGCACTAGCAGGTGGATTCACAAGGAACCACATTTTCATAGCTGGAAAGTTCAGCTTATCCGTCACCACATGGAAAACGTGCATTTCGGGATCCTTAGTGTGCAGCACTGTTGAATTCACAACGACAGACGTTGCGAGCACATTATCGGAAAAGATTGCATAATGGTACAGTGATGGATTTTCAAGTTTCTCCTTATTAGGGAACTCCTTTTCTTCATAACCACGAAGATGATAGTCTGTCGTTAGAAGCAAAGGAAGGCAATGTAATGGCCTGGGGACAGTTTTGGCGGCTAGCTGTATCAAGAACGCACTTTTTTTCTTCAACGAATTCACACTTGTTTCACTAAATTGAAGCATGGCCCTTAATTTCCTTGCAATGGTGATACAGTCATATAATTGGTCCTTCGCAGTGGAGAGTGTATGCCCCATTTCCTTTGCTCGTTCTAATGCACTGAGAAACAACAGAATGGCATGAGCATTAGAAATTATTACATCTAGTCAGATTTTTCAGAATGCCCGTTTCAACACAGAATGTAATAATAGCAATACTTGGGCATATTCAGATTAAACCTGACATTATTAATGCACCATTTTGTCAATAAAATATCGAAAGCATTCTCTCGAAAAGGATTCAAGAGTTTTTTAGACAAATATGGTAATTTAGCCTCAGAAAAATACTCTTCCAACTAATATCATTATTATATTAGATCAGCTTGTAACGTTGGTTGTGAAAATTTTGAAAGTTCAAGAGGCTTATTGTAATTTCAAAAACATCTTGGATAATTTGGTAATTTGGCCACACCTCTGAGGGAGGTAGTTGTAATTAACCCTAAGAATTTATTTTTTGAAAAAAGAGTCTAAACTTCATACACCTGATTAAAGCTGTAAGAACACAAACCTTGGCAACAGTTCAGCATCGAACGAAGCATCTCCAATTGCCATCTGACTTTCTCTAGAATGTTTCATTAACAAGTCATACAAAGAACTGTCACTCTTATTTGCTTTTGCAATAGTCGCATAAGCTCTTGCCATTATGATCTGGTCACGCATAAGCTTCACGATAGAGTCAGAGTTGGGGTTTTCATACTCTTTCCTCCATATATTGAATTTTCCATTAATAGTTGTATCCAGCTTCTGGGCTCGTTCAATGGCAGCATTTTGCATCTGGTCGTCCGTTTCTTTATCCTGCTGAATCAGATCTGCAGTCCTTTGTTCCCTTCTTTTTTGTCGTTCTATCTTGATAAGTTCACAAAGAGTCAATAAGCAGTGAAAATGAGGGTGAGACATACACATTAGATCAATAGGGAATCAGTTCCTCTGATGGCCGCCTTGACCAAGGCCAGTCATTGATGGAGGGCAGAGTGGGCAGCCACCCTGTGCCTCCAAAAATTATGGGCTGGTGTATCATTAGGTCCATTAGTTAAACTAACAACATTGTAGAGTTGAAGTATTAATGTCCAAACTAGTTTTTCTAGGTCCACGGCAAGCATGACTTTGCTTTCCAAAGTAATAGTCAAAGACTCAAAATCCAAATGGATACCTTTATTAGGGCCTAATTTAAACTTTCCGTCTAGGGCCTTAGAGGATGGAGGCTCCGTGACAAGCCAAGAAGACAATGCAAAGAAACAACTCACAGTTGTGGAATGGATTAAACATCAGACCTTGCGCTTGAGCTTCATTGGATGCATGGTATATGTTTGCTGACGTGGCGTTACATCAACATTCTGAATTACAACTTCTTTAGTACGCTGATTATTGTACTCAGAATTAGACTCCGGATCAAATGGATCATCGGACCCCTGTTTATGCAAAAAACAATTATCGACACACAGTCACGAGAGCATATACTTGTTACAAGACTCACATATGAAGATTGAAGAGACACCTTTGAACTCTCTTTTCCATCAACATTCTCACCACTGGGATTTTTCCAGGCCCAAGACTTTGAGAGGCTCTCAGATTTCACTCGAGCGGCTTTAATTGCTCCGAGAGCATCACTATATGTTACAATTATGTCAATATCCTGCATCAAGAGAAGAAAGAAAATCTAAGTCAAAATCATATTCATATCCATAATTATAGAATAACCAAAATGAAGCAACAGTGTATACCTTTACATTTGAACGAGCAGCAGATTCTGTTCTACTTGGCACCTGCGAAGGCATTTCCCAAAACTTAAGGAGATGATATGAATAATAAGAATGCAGAAATGTTGAATAAGAAGTTCAAATGTGAATGATGAATGCACCTTTCTATCAACGCACTCTGAACAATCATAAATGTTCAAAGGATCTCCGAGCTTTGCTTGGCTGAAAACGTGAGAAATACAATTNAGCTTGCGGGGGGGTGTGAAGATACATCAGTGATATGCCACCTGTCCATGCCAGCTGTCCAATTCTCCTAACTAATTGTCCCTACTTTCTAGCTTAGATATTTTTGGTTTGTTAGGCTAGATATTTTTGGTTAGTTAGGCAGCTCAGTATGGTGTGTATATATATACTTTGTTTCCTTTTCTCTGGGACGACGGATCAGAATATGAAGCTTGAATAACATTTCCATTTTCTTCTTCCCTGAGTTCTTCTCTGTTCTCTTTCTGTTCACAACTTTAACAAAAGGTGCATTCATCATTCACATTTGAACTTCTTATTCAACATTTCTGCATTCTTATTATTCATATCATCTCCTTAAGTTTTGGGAAATGCCTTCGCAGGTGCCAAGTAGAACAGAATCTGCTGCTCGTTCAAATGTAAAGGTATACACTGTTGCTTCATTTTGGTTATTCTATAATTATGGATATGAATATGATTTTGACTTAGATTTTCTTTCTTCTCTTGATGCAGGATATTGACATAATTGTAACATATAGTGATGCTCTCGGAGCAATTAAAGCCGCTCGAGTGAAATCTGAGAGCCTCTCAAAGTCTTGGGCCTGGAAAAATCCCAGTGGTGAGAATGTTGATGGAAAAGAGAGTTCAAAGGTGTCTCTTCAATCTTCATATGTGAGTCTTGTAACAAGTATATGCTCTCGTGACTGTGTGTCGATAATTGTTTTTTGCATAAACAGGGGTCCGATGATCCATTTGATCCGGAGTCTAATTCTGAGTACAATAATCAGCGTACTAAAGAAGTTGTAATTCAGAATGTTGATGTAACGCCACGTCAGCAAACATATACCATGCATCCAATGAAGCTCAAGCGCAAGGTCTGATGTTTAATCCATTCCACAACTGTGAGTTGTTTCTTTGCATTGTCTTCTTGGCTTGTCACGGAGCCTCCATCCTCTAAGGCCCTAGACGGAAAGTTTAAATTAGGCCCTAATAAAGGTATCCATTTGGATTTTGAGTCTTTGACTATTACTTTGGAAAGCAAAGTCATGCTTGCCGTGGACCTAGAAAAACTAGTTTGGACATTAATACTTCAACTCTACAATGTTGTTAGTTTAACTAATGGACCTAATGATACACCAGCCCATAATTTTTGGAGGCACAGGGTGGCTGCCCACTCTGCCCTCCATCAATGACTGGCCTTGGTCAAGGCGGCCATCAGAGGAACTGATTCCCTATTGATCTAATGTGTATGTCTCACCCTCATTTTCACTGCTTATTGACTCTTTGTGAACTTATCAAGATAGAACGACAAAAAAGAAGGGAACAAAGGACTGCAGATCTGATTCAGCAGGATAAAGAAACGGACGACCAGATGCAAAATGCTGCCATTGAACGAGCCCAGAAGCTGGATACAACTATTAATGGAAAATTCAATATATGGAGGAAAGAGTATGAAAACCCCAACTCTGACTCTATCGTGAAGCTTATGCGTGACCAGATCATAATGGCAAGAGCTTATGCGACTATTGCAAAAGCAAATAAGAGTGACAGTTCTTTGTATGACTTGTTAATGAAACATTCTAGAGAAAGTCAGATGGCAATTGGAGATGCTTCGTTCGATGCTGAACTGTTGCCAAGGTTTGTGTTCTTACAGCTTTAATCAGGTGTATGAAGTTTAGACTCTTTTTTCAAAAAATAAATTCTTAGGGTTAATTACAACTACCTCCCTCAGAGGTGTGGCCAAATTACCAAATTATCCAAGATGTTTTTGAAATTACAATAAGCCTCTTGAACTTTCAAAATTTTCACAACCAACGTTACAAGCTGATCTAATATAATAATGATATTAGTTGGAAGAGTATTTTTCTGAGGCTAAATTACCATATTTGTCTAAAAAACTCTTGAATCCTTTTCGAGAGAATGCTTTCGATATTTTATTGACAAAATGGTGCATTAATAATGTCAGGTTTAATCTGAATATGCCCAAGTATTGCTATTATTACATTCTGTGTTGAAACGGGCATTCTGAAAAATCTGACTAGATGTAATAATTTCTAATGCTCATGCCATTCTGTTGTTTCTCAGTGCATTAGAACGAGCAAAGGAAATGGGGCATACACTCTCCACTGCGAAGGACCAATTATATGACTGTATCACCATTGCAAGGAAATTAAGGGCCATGCTTCAATTTAGTGAAACAAGTGTGAATTCGTTGAAGAAAAAAAGTGCGTTCTTGATACAGCTAGCCGCCAAAACTGTCCCCAGGCCATTACATTGCCTTCCTTTGCTTCTAACGACAGACTATCATCTTCGTGGTTATGAAGAAAAGGAGTTCCCTAATAAGGAGAAACTTGAAAATCCATCACTGTACCATTATGCAATCTTTTCCGATAATGTGCTCGCAACGTCTGTCGTTGTGAATTCAACAGTGCTGCACACTAAGGATCCCGAAATGCACGTTTTCCATGTGGTGACGGATAAGCTGAACTTTCCAGCTATGAAAATGTGGTTCCTTGTGAATCCACCTGCTAGTGCAACAGTTCAGGTTGAGAATATAGACGATTTCACATGGCTAAATGCTTCTTACTGCCCCGTTTTACGTCAGCTTGAATCTGCAAGAATGATAGAGTATTACTTCAAGGCTCATCACTCTGCCACACTCTCTTCTGGGACTGACAATTTGAAATATAGAAACCCTAAATATTTGTCAATGTTAAACCATCTACGGTTTTACCTTCCTGAAATATACCCAAAGTTGGATAAGATATTGTTCCTGGATGATGATATTGTCGTTCAAAAGGATTTGACCCCTCTTTGGTCTGTCGATCTTGGAGGTATGGTTAATGGTGCTGTAGAGACTTGCAAGGAGAGCTTTCATAGGTTTGATAAATATCTGAACTTCTCCAACCCAAAGATATCTGAGAATTTCGATCCAAATGCTTGCGGATGGGCTTTTGGCATGAATATGTTTGATTTGAATGAGTGGAGGAGACGGAACATCACGGGAGTATATCATCGTTGGCAAGACATGGTGAGGCAGCCATCATTTTTTACCTCACTCTTCCAAGTTGTGAAGAGATGAAGTATTATATACTCTGTATGAAACTAGGCTAAATCCACTGTTGAGCCTCAAACTTGGCTTGTTGGCCCCGAACACCCAAATGAGAGAGAGTTCTCGGGATTGTACATATTTGTAGGAAATATGTGTTCGAATGTGAATTTGATGAAATGCTGAGAAAGAATGACATGTGTGAGAAGATAGACTCAGTATATTCTGATGATACAAATGTTTTAGTGAAAGGCACATTTGTATCAAGGCAGGTGATGTTATAGGCAATGTTTTAGTGAAAGGCACATTTGTATCATCAGAATATACTGACTCCAGCTTCTCAGACATGTCATTCATTCTCAGCATTTCATCAAATTCACATCTAAACAAATATTTCCTACAAATATGTACAATCCCGACAGTTCTCTCATTTGGATCCTTGAAGAGTACAGATGACATTGGTTTGAAGAGTAGATCAATTAAGCAATCTTTAGTTGAAAGTTTGGATGAAACATATGAACAAACAGGAGTCACATCCATCAAAGAAAGCATAATTCTGAACATTCATATTTTGAATGGTCCACCATTGAATAAAATACGTGAAAAGGCAACGCTTCCTAAATAATGACACTCTTTCCTTCACGAGGATCCCTACATTTTCAGTATTTTCTTGAACAAAGAATTGTGCTTGAAAAAACCTGTCTTTTCTATCTACTACTGGATCTGTTGTTATTGTAAAGTTCTCTATTTCCAATTTATGGTTAGACCTGATGAAAAAATTGCTTTGCCTTGCAGAATGAGGAGCGAACGCTTTGGAAACTCGGGACTTTGCCTCCTGGGCTGATCACATTTTACAACCTGACCTATCCTCTGGATCGGAGCTGGCACGTTTTGGGCCTCGGCTATGATCCGGCGCTCAACAAAACAGCCATTGAGAATGCTGCTGTTGTCCACTACAATGGAAACTATAAGCCATGGCTGGATCTCGCCATCACCAAGTACAGAACTTACTGGTCCAGATATGTAATGCCGGACAACCCTTACCTTCAAATTTGCGGAACGCCCCCGTGAGCCATAAATACACAACGGAGACAATCTAATTGGGTTAGTATCTCAATTACAACACTTAACTGCTAATCGCCTTTGAAGTTGTTTGAACTTTGGATTTGTGTGCATATATAGAAAAACACCTTTTGTTTTTTTTGTTGGGGCTCTGAGTAAAATCTATTGACCCAAGATGCCAAGATATCTTTTCTTTATGAACCATTTCCTGTGGAGTAGTATTAGTTTACTTGTTTAGAAAACAAAAACCAAAAGTTACCATACAAAAAAAAAGGGTAAAACATAAACATACTTCGTATTGCATGCCTGCTTCCATATTTATCCCACTATTGTCTCTAGTAAATTAGTAATGTAAAATAAGTAATACATGCTCTTGTGTTTAAAGTTTACACACACAGATATGAGAACCCTTAAGGGTCTGTTTGGTAAGTGTGCGAGATATGATTTTAAATGTTGGGCGTTGCGCAGTTAGCAAGGCAAGGGGTGCCAAGGAGGTAAGACCCGAGTTCAATTCCTGGCAATGTGTTGGGAGGCAACTATGTTAAGCATAGGGCTTCTGCAAGTACCAGGTGTAGGCTCCACTCTTTGTTACCAATCTGCGATTAATGTCTAATTTACCTCCTTTTAGTGACCGTTCGGCCGGGTCTGGGGGATGGGGCTCATCCTTTTTTTTCTCATATCAGTTCTTCTAAATGCAGTGTTTCGATGGTGACTAGATCAGTATAAATAACTTATCATTTGATTTGTTTTTTAAGAGATCAAAAATCATCTTATACTACTTCCGTTCTTGAAAACAGTTCTCATTTGACCAAATACTAAAATAAAGAACTGTTAAATTGTAGTTGACTTCCAATTTTGTCCTTGATGTGATGGATAGATTATTAGAGAAAAAATATGATGTTATAGGTAGGGTAAGAAAGAATATGGTTAAAAATGGTTTTTTAATAGAAAATCGAAGTGTTTTGGTGGAAGAGAAAAAAATGAAAGAATAAGTGTTTTGGAAAACAGAGGGAGTAGGTATCAAAACTAATTGGATAGCAATTTTTCCTCTAGTAAAAGAATACTGGGGATTACTGGGTAATTCCTTTGATTAATTAAATGGGACGAAATTACTGTATAAAATTCT